TGGAGATGTTATGTTGGCTTTAGTGGAATAACCAGAGTCAAATCAAAGACATTCATAAGGCAGCCACTGTATACACTGTATATAAATAAGGTTCTGAGTGAAGAGGTATCTGTCTAATTTCTGGACAGACTCACTAGAAAATTTACATGATTCTGAAAGCTGTTGAGACCAATAATTTTAAAAGCCAAAATTATTAAGTACCATGAAACTCCATGCTTATATAAAGACATGTGAAAAACAATTGTAATCCTTTTTCAGAAAGGGATATTAGTTAGTTTGTTTTTATCGGATAGAAATTCTTGGTGGAAAATTGAAGCTGCCAGGCTTCTGTTGTTGAAGACTGAGTTGCCAATGGTTGATAGTTTTTCTGATTTTGATGTAGACAGGTACCAAAAAGAAGCAAGAAAATAAAAGAAACTTTGTGTTGAACTTACCAGGACATAGGATGAAGAGATGACCGTGCATGGATAGATGCTTTGGCCTGGTGCACAGGCTGCGACAGCAATAGTTTGGGACCAAGCTGGGATGTCATCTGGCTGTTCTGGTCAAGCCTTATGCCTTTACTGGTCCTGGTCTCAGACCTGGAGTGGATGAACTATATTGTCCTCTCATGTTCCTGCAATATGATGTAGTTGATCTTATGATTAGGTAAAAGATGAGAAAAAGTGACAAGAAAGGGACAACAAAGGTGCAGAGGAATGTACAATGGAAAAGACACAGAATACAATGTGACCAGGCTGGAACACTGTCTTGTCTAATTTTGACAACCGCATGTCCTCATGAGTGTGCTGGTTTTGTCTTGCTGGTGTTAGAAGGATGTTTGAAATGATGCTCTCAGGATAACATAGAGGCTGCCAGCCTCCTACCGGGGAATCCCTTAGATTTGTCTATTGTCTCCATCCTAGAAGTCTGCCTTTCAAAAAACCCCAGACAGCAGAATAGCCTGCCTCTTCATTATTTAGTACCTGATGAGGGCTCGTTTCTCTTGTTTACCAACCACTGTATTAGCAAGTCTTTTTGTTTGGACAGAAGCTGTCTTTCTGCCTTCTTTTCATACTTCTGCTGCCTATGTTCATAGGTACAAGAGTATTGCACATCTTAACTCCACTTTCCAAATGCTGCACTCACTATTAGAGGGACTCTTCTCTAACTAATAATTATAACTAGATTCAAGGGGAAGAACAGCAACTTGGAAATAATTTATCTCTTCTGGAAACAACAAAGTTGCATAATGATAATTCTGAAGTCTTTCTGTTGGAAAAGGAAATAGTCAAGCAATAATTTATCACAGATTCAGAATGGCACTAGCATCTTGTGCAAGCAGCTAAGCTCTCTCAAATCCATTAATTTCAGTAGAAGTTAAATCAGGCCTTTATAAAGTTGCCAAATAATTTTCAGATCTGTATTTTCCTATAACTTCATATGTCCTTTTCTTTGCTTTTTCTGTCCAGTTCCTTACTCCTTATATACTGTCCATGGGTTAGAGCTCAATTCCCTTAGTGGTTATCAGCTGCTCCGGTTATTTGACTTTCACATGAGTATACACACTTTTCTTCTTAAAGGGATAGCTTTATAATCTTTATTTCATCTGCTATTCCTTTTATTGATCCAGTGTTGCTGTTTGAAGAAAGAGCAACCACAAGGGAAAGTTGAAGTGAAATGATCTTTTGGCTTCACCAAGAGCGGAAAGTAAATAATGAGAGCACATTTATGCCAAAACAAAACAAACAGGGTTTTTTGATCAAGCTGTTACTTGAGACTGGAATATTCACAGTAAATTCAGGAAGAATAGTTGGAACCTTTTTATTTCTTGTGTTCTTATTACACTGTACTTCTGTAGAGAAATGTGCAATTATATTATAAATAATGAAGAATTGCATTTGTTTACACTGAGGTGTAATTAAGATCTAGTTGTGGAAGAATTCTGTACAAGTGTATCTTCGTATCTGTGCAAGTCTGTCGAAGGCAGTGGGAGGCTGGGAAAGCACTGCGTATACAAATCTCCTTGATGAATCTATGGCATGGGAACTAAAACCTGGGTATTGTTCTAGATTTGAGCAAACACATTTGAATAATGAAACCACCTCATATCAAAGCAAATGTTACTGTGCACCTTATGTGCTGCTTCCAGTTCAGATCAGAAGCTCAGAGGCTAAAATATTTTGCACTGAGTTTCCCAATACAGCACAAAGAGAAAGTTCAGAAAATAACCCAAGTACTTCTTGCATGAGACTCCTCTGTCCCACAGGCACTTTGCACTTTAGAGGGGAAGGGTAGGGTGAACTTAATCTCACTTCAGAATCTTTCCAAGTTCCCATTTCATGATTTACAACCTATTGTATGTGCTAATGGAATAGGTAACTGCTGTCACTTCTGGGAAGGGAAACACAGAAATTGCGGGGATTACTCTATGAGCAGGGCCACAAATGAAAGGTTCTCTCTTTTTCCTAGTTCCCCATCTGTCTACCTGGCCAGTCAGGTTATGCATTAGAATCCACAACAAGGCTTCTAGTATAATGTAGCTTATGAAAGCAGGAACTGGTGATATATGTTAAAGAGAAGCAGAAAGATTTCACGGAGTTTCTTACTCTCTTCTGATTCTTAGTGTTACCTTTACCACTTACTACTCACTGCAAGTAAATGAGAGAGGCTACATTTCTGATTGTAAAATATTCTAGATGCCCATGAGCTTTTTACTCCTGAAAAGCTTGCAAATCTGCATGACTAGGGCAAGGTTTGTTCACAGTACTGGCAAGAAATTTATTAAAAGAAATCCATTGAGAGTCCTAACATGGCAGTAGTGAATGGTTCAGTGCATTTGAAAGCGTGTATAAATATAACAGATCTTGCTATTGCAAAGATGTAGAAAACTCAGAAACCTTATATCATAACATGAAAAGTTTCTTCAAAGCCACATTTCCAGCTTCCAAAATGTCTACATGCTGAATGTCTCTTGTCCAGAACATTTACATTACTGTAGTTTGACACAGTGCGTTTTCTTAAATTTCCAATGGAAGAGGTAGCAGAAGAATCAATTTATTGCTATAATTTTCAAAAGAAATGAGCTGCTGAGTTGGCCAAGCAGCTGATCAGATTGTAGTTTATAAGTTCTGAAGACTTGATACACTGAGGTAAAGTTATAGTATCTCTGATGGTTTAGATTTTGTTACAGACATTAAAAAAAAAGCATGCATTAGTACAAAGTCAAAAGGGATCAGAGACAAAAGGCTTTGTTATTTTTTCTGGCATTGCAATTAGCTTAACTTTCTGTTTAAGTGGGTAAAATCAGTGCTTTTCAAGGTATTGTGGGAGAAATCTTGAATGATTAGTGATACATATACATATCTATGCAGTGTAATTCTGTGTGTGTGAGTGCGTATGCGTCAACCAGCAATAGATGGCTTAAACCTGATAATCTCCATAGTAAATGTGTACTTCCTGCCTTCCCTGTATGTGCAAAAGAGATAACAATACCGTGTTCTGGGGATAAGTGTCATATATGTCTATCTTATTTTGGCTGCATTTATAGTGAGTAACTTTGCAGTATAATACAAACAGTTCGGGAAAAATGAATTTCTTGCTGATACTGAAAGACTGGGAAAGTTAACTTTAAGTTGCAGAAGTCACAGGTAAAACTATTCCAACATAACAGGCAATTCATGTAATGTGATACAACCAAACAGAAGGCAAACAGAGAGAACCCCCAATTTAGAAGCTCTTGTTAATGAAGTAAAAAAAGATTACTGAACACTTGCTGAACTGTACTGAGTGAAGACAAAGTTCATTCTTCAACCTCTTTCTAAAATTTTTTCAGACACCTGTTTATTGTGCTTTGTAGTGATACTCCTTTGTTTCCAAACAAATGATTCAGAGCCCTTCCTAGTTATAACATCCGTGCTTTATAGCATTAGTCCTACATTTTAACTTCCACACACAAACCAGATCCCACTTAAACAAGCTGCGAATCACACACACCAATGTATCTGCCGTAGCTGCACCCCTGCTGCCACTGCAGGCTGGGAAAGGACTCCCTGCTGCAGAGGTCTCCTGGAACCCAAAGGTGGCCCCAGCCCAGCGCAGTGGGACGAGCTCACTCCCCTTTGCCCCCATCCTTCACTGCGCTGTGTTTTAATTTTAAGGAATTCAAATGTATTGAGCTTTTTCTCTCAGTTCATACTAAAGACTGGTCCTGAAAGTTATTGAATAGGGATTACCAATTAAAACTTTTTTGAATGAAGTAGGGTTTTATCTGCTTGGAATTGTTCAACTTTTTTTTTTTTTTCTTTCACCAAGAATTTAAGTATATTTGACAGTATCTGGCTGTCCTGATTGCCATTTCTTCTTATTTTACTCCACATATTTTCATTTTCCATACACACATGGACAGGATTTTTCCAATACAAAATGGAGAAGAGAAACAAAGTGAAGGTGGGGGGAGCAGCAGAGAAGAAAATTGCTGAGAAATGAAAGAAAAACTGACACACACACCCCAAAATGGAAGAATTCCTGTTTTCACAAAGGAACTTGCAGTTCTCCAAAGAGTTGGCAGGAATAACTCTAGTCTGGTACATAACACAGGTTCTAGTACAGCCTATGCTTCTCACTGCAGGACACTTATTTTTAGGCATACATTAATTTAAAATAGCATGTGTTTTCTTATATTTACTAGGTGTTCAGTTCCCGATTCCAGAAATAAACAGAAATTATAGTAGGCCCAAAAGGAGCTGCATGACCACTCTCTAAAGGCAGTACCTGCACTGAAAATTTTAAAAGATTGTATAACCACAGCAAGGATATAACAAAATGCTCAGCTTCTCTAACCCTACAGGAAGATGTGCTACAATATCTCCACAGCCAATCAGCAGTACTACAAGCCTCAGACCAGGAAACTCTTTAAAGTACAGTATGTGTGAACATTGCAACAGGGACTTTCTCATTGCTGCTCTTTCTTTTTCTCTTCTTTGTGCTTGCAGGATGGCAAGACAGATGTGAAGTCACTCATGGCGAAATTTAACACAGGTAACAACCCTACAGAGGCTGTTTCTGGTAACAGTCGACCCTTCAAAGTCCCAGGACAACCTAGCCATATGGGATTACAGACAAGGAAAGCAGCACTTGAGAAATTTGCAAGTCAAGGAAATGCAACTTCTTCAGGACCCACCTTTCACAAACCTGTTCATCCTAAGCCTCCTCTGGGGGTCAAGCCTTCAATTGATGATAAAACAGAGAAGGATCCAAAGCCCCCATATTTGAAACCGGTTGCACAAAGATTTGGGGTTCAGCTTCAGGCAACTAACAGAGAAAATGATGGAAAAGGTGGATGCACTAAACCCCCCACCAAAACCAGTGATCTGGCAAAAGAAGAGCCAAAGCCTCTGTATCCAAAACCTGCAGGGAACAAGTTCCTTAACTCTGCTCCTCATGAGAAAGAAAAAATTCCTCTGGGAACAAAACCAAATTCAAATTTTGCATCACAGGAGAGTGAGGGAAAACCAGCATTTTCAAAAGTAACTGGAGTTAAGGAAAAGTTCATGTCTGCAACACAAGAAAACGAGCCCAAGCCTCCTTTCTCTAAACCACCTCTTGCACAGAAACCTTCTCAAAACCATGAGGTTTCCCACAATGAAGACACTTCTAATAAAAATGTTTTTCTGCAAAAAGGACTATCAGGCCCTAGACCAAATCTACACTCATTTAAAGCAGCAAAGGAAATGGATGAAAATAGTAACTGTGCTGCAGAAGCTGCAGGCAGTCATTTTTCTAACATAGCTCTGAAGCCTACTGGCCACTGGTCCAGCTCATCTCAAGGCACCCCCAAAAACGTGGAGGAAAAGACTGAAGAAAAGGGAATGAGTGCTGCCAAGAACATCTTTCTCAACAAAATCATCCAGGAAGAATCAGGTTCTTCTTCCTCTAAGTTCCGTAAGATGAACACAGCTCTTGCTGTAGGAAGGCCATCAGGTGGATCACAAGAGAAAGAGGATGGGGACAGGAGCTCAGGAACCCCCAAGCGGAAAGCCTTGCCCCCGCTGTTCAAGCTGGGCCAGCCCCCACAGAAGCCCAGCAGACCCCCCAGCGTGGACCTGGAAAGGTTCCAGAAGAGCAGCCCAAAAGACAGTGAGTTCTTTCTGTTCTTGCATTCTTGGGTATGGGCTTTTTTATGCATTTAGTACCCAGTTCATTTCAGGTGGAATCCTCTCTTCTGTTCAGAAACAAAATGAGACTTGTGCATCAGACAACCCCTTAAAGCTTTAACCTATACTTGTGTCTCTTTTGTATAGGACAGAAAGTAAAATTATATTCTCCCTCCCTCAGCAATAAAGTGCAGGATGAATGCTTTCCGTGTTGAGTTTATTTGGTTTTTAAAACTACTTAGATGTAGCTGTAACTTGTATCAGTAATCTTAAGTATTTTTCTCAACAGACATTTAAGTCCTGACTGCCTATAAATGAGATGTTAATGTTGTATGTCTGGTTCTTGACAGTAACTTCCTGGGCACAGCTTGAGGGCCACCAAAATGATATACTACAACCTCTAGTAACCACACTTTTTTTTTTTTTTCTTTTTCGCTTTTCTCAACGACTAATCACAGCATGACCCTGTAAGTTGCTGTATTTTAAAGTTTGTTTAGAAGGTAGAACACTGTGCAAAATTACAGAATCAATTGGTTTCCCTGTGGAGCTCCGTGCATTTTATATCCAGATCTGAATCCAGACTCCAAAAGCATCTCCTGGACTTAATGTTTTCTGTCAGGTTTGCATGACTTCAGTAGTGTGGCAGTTAATAGCACCTGAGGCTCTGCCTCACTATTTTTGTGAAGAACTAAGCCTCTGAACTTTCTGACGGCCATAATCCAGGCATGAATATTAAGGCTTGTCACTAGGTTTCTGTAAAATTTGAGATGGTCTTGTGTGTGATGACAGCTTCTGTAAATACATTTGAAATATCTGGAAGCACACCAATACCTGTGAAAAAAAGAAATTGCTGTTACTCCACTCCCGCAAAGAGTTCTGCTTCAACAGGTTCCTTTCACCGCACAAGACAAGTTGCAACAACAACATAAGCTGTTTCTGAGGCACTCAAAGTGTGCCCTTGAAAATCTCATACAAAAATGTAGTTTCCTAAAGTTAGACCCATATATCCACTGTGACCTCCTTGAAGGAGAGTTCAGTTTTGCAGAGGTCCTCAATGTCTTTAATTCTCCCTTAAATTACCTGTATTTCAAACTTTTGGGTTAAGGTTTTCCTGCAAAGCTTTTAGGCACTCTTTGACAATTCTAAAAAGTTAAAATCATCCACTCCAGCTGGAATAGGTGATACCAATTGACACATTTCTGTTACAAGTTTTATAGTAGCTGAAGGAGGCATTCTCTTTTTTCTTATAGCACCAGGTGCTAGGAACTATGATTGCATAAGAAATTCTGATCACATTTTAAAATCAAAGTTTTAAGTTGTATGAGTCCAGAGGGAAGCTGTTCTTGATCTTGGTGCATGAGAGAAACAAGAACAGAAAAAAAAAAAAAAAAAAATTATTGTGTTAGATTTTTGTATTTAGGAGGCATTCATTTATTTCTTCTTCTTTTTTTTTTTTTTTTCCCTTAATGCATTGCTGCCTGCATTGAGCTCAGGAAGCAAAGAATATATTCAATCCTCACATATATTTTTTAGCTCAAGTAATTTTAACCAGTTATGTCCTGCAACTAATTGTGTCAGGTGATACACACAGCTAAGTAATTTCTGATAATGAGGGGCATTTCACCTACATTAGTCTGCCTTAACCATCTCTCTTAGATTTAATTAAACAGATCAAACTCAGACTGTTCAATTTTCAGTGTAGTCAGTGGGAAAGGGAGATACGCAATGGTGTAATTCAGAGCATTAAAGTCAGATGCCTAACGTAGCTGACAATAGATGCTCTGAATAACTCCACACTGTGCATGTACAGTACATCAGGTACATTCAGGTAATTTAATTGACACAAAATTTGTCCTTGTGCGTTCTGTATTTAGAATACAGTATGGCTTGTGCTTCAGCAGTTTTGAATGCACATAAGACTGGTCTTCCTGAAACAGAAGATATTCAAAGGGGTTGTGACCGGATGAAAAAGCTCAGAGTTGACTTTCTCTAAAGACAAAAAGCCACACTATAAACACAGAGTGTGCATGCAACTATATACTCTGTTATTACTAGTTCAACTCAAAAATTAGGAGGGTATCAGTAACATAAAATGTACTTTCTTGTCAGCTGCTACATTCTGATTTTCCTGTGTTACCCTACAGTTATGGAAATGTTCTCACAAATCCACGACCAGGGCCAGATCCTCAAATGGTGTAAATTTTTGTATGTCTTTAAAAGAAATATGCCAATATACAACAGTTTGAGCAGCTGCCCTTTCTCCATAGAGCACTGTTGGAATGACTGGCTTTACTCAAGTGCCCAGAGCAGTCTCAAAATGGAAAGGCAGCATTTTCAGCACATGACACCAGCAAATGTTTTGATTAAGCAAAACCAATAAAAGCTTTGCTAGCTAGAACCTTGAGAAGTCCTGATGAAGGCTGGAAATACCCAAAACTGCAATTAATTTTTTAAAAATACATTTTTGTATTTTATGGAGGAATTATTTTGTTTGTTTGTTTGTTTGTTGTTTATTCAAATTTTTTTTCTGGTTCCTGTGCAGTTATAGGCACAAAGATTTTTTTCATCTTCTTTTTAAAACTGAGGGTTAGAAATATTTATCCTATACATGTAAAATGAATACTGTGAACAGGGTCATAAGGATAATACCAGAACTTTTGCTAGAAGGAGGATCTCCAGTTGTCACTAACCAGCACTAGTGCAGCCACCAGCCTGGATGAGTCGCGCTGGGAACATGAGCTAAGGATGGAGCCGCCCAGTGCGGTGGCATAGGTTGTTCTCCAAACATGTTGCAAAATACACACCCAACTAAGTAGAATGGAAGGGGCAGACATGGTCTTTTCTACTTCACAGTCTTTGGGTCAGTGTAAGATTTAGAAACCACATCAATACAAAGCTGTTCATAGTGGCCCTAAACTTAGTGGCCTTCCCCTGTAGAGCTGGCATGTAGACCCTGATGTTCTGTTTGGCTTTAATTAATGCAGCTCATTTCTTTGTGGCCAGAACTCTCCGAAGAACAGTTCTGGTGGAGAGAACAGGTGTTCTAGACTGAATCAAACTCATTTTCAGCTCAATAAAGTTATTCATTGTTGCTGGGTTTCTTGGAACGTTAAACTCAAGTGACAAAACCTACCTGCTTTGGAAAGGCAGTTAAACGGAATTGTATTGGGTTTTTTTTTAACTGTCATTTCAAGAATCAAAGTCATGTCAGGAAGATGCCACCCCCACAGCACAAATTCCTCCTGCTCATTACTTTGTCCTGATAAACAGCAGCTTGCCACAGTTTAATTTGCTGCTGTGATTCAGGTGCTGAGTAAAAAGAACAAGCAAATGGAAATGGTTTTCCCATCCAGCAAAGCTTTCTGAGATCTAGCCTTTGGGGGTTTTGATCTGTACTAGGGCAAAAGTTAGGCTTTGTGTTGTGCTTTGAGAAGAGAAAAGCTCCACACATGCCAGTTGTTATACCTGTGTTAGAGGCATGTGCCTAGGGTGCAGAAAACCTTGTATTGCCTGATTTAAACCATGAGTTCGAACTTGGCTTTCTCAGAAGTATCAATTCACCCCTTTTTTTTGGTTGTTATCCTTCGCCATGAAAGCTGTTTTACTGTTTTTTCATAATCAAGTATTCACTGGGCATGAAATAACTTTAAATGTTAGAGGCTGAAGGACCTACCTTAGATGCAGCAGTCTTAGTCATGTGTGGCAGAAGATTTAAACTGTCCATCATGCCTGCATGAATACTAAGGGATGCTGGTTTGGAGTTGGTCTTGCTTTGGATTAGAAATTTTCACCTGGTCCTGAAAAACTTTTCATGGTAAATCTTCTGTAGATACAAGTGTCTTGCTGAGGAAAGTTTGACTATTGATGCATTACTATTTTTCCAGTGAAAGCAGGCTTTAAGAAATCCTTGTCTGGGCCTGTGAATACATGGCATTCTGGTAAATTCCTGTGTCATGTCCCATTACAACAATTTTCCCTGAGAGCAGATCATATTTACGTCAGCTTAGAATCAATGAGATGCATATGTGCTTTCTAGATTCAGAAAACAATACTAATGATACTGTTTTATAATAGACACCCAAAGTGTAAACAGAGCTTTGTTAGAAAAAAGAAGAGAGGCAAACTCATTTTGCTGACAGCTTTCCATGTGAGGCCACAACCATACCGTTGCTTTCAGAGGAGAACTGCACCTGGGCTGACCTCAGTGGGATCGTGTGTGTACAGATGGCCACCCACATAAAGTCAGCTGAAGGCTCAGAGTCCCCAGCACTCTAAACACCTTCAAACACCTCTTGAATGATCAACACTGGGGCTTCAGCTAGGGAGAATATTTTGAGCCATGCAGGGAGAAACAAAAAGAAACTGTACGGAATCTAGGAGAAAAGAAGATATGTAAGAAAATTCTCATGATTTATAATTAGGGTTATGGTTGTGTCTGCAGTCCTTGTTGAGGTTCTGTTCTGCAATGGACTGTGTACCCACACAGTGACACGGCTATTTGAGTTGGGTAGGACAGAGAGAAACAAAGAAACAATCAGAGAGAAAGGAGGAATTAAAATTTGAGGTGCGTGGTCAAAGTTACCACAACAGTCTGTTGGCAAACTAATTAACAATCAAGCACCACTCCTGAGGACAGTAAATGTCTTAACTGCCTTTGCAAAGCCCCTTACAACCAGCCAGTTGTTGTTCTTACTTGCTGGCAAGATGAAACAGAAGCTTCCAAAGTTATAAAGAACAGGGGATTTTTTTTATCACAGGATGTCACGGCTGTTTACTGCAGAACCTGGACTTAAAAGGTCAATGTAGGTTTTCCTTTTTTTATCTCAGTGGTATATTTGATAAAGCTACACAACAGCTCAGTATTAAGGTGTAGGTGATAAAAAGAATTGTAGCTTGAGCCAAATTATCTCTTTCTAAGACAGGTGAAACTAAAAGTAGGTGATGATATCAAACAACACTGTTCAGGGTGGAGTCGGGGTAGCT